TTTAAGATAAGATATAAGTAATTATTTTTCCCATTTGCATATCATTTTTTTCTTGGCTACTTTAAGAATTTTTTCTTATGTTTATTTTCTTTAGATTAATCATGAGTGGTGCTACTATAGTTTTTTTCAAATTTGTGTTGGATTTGCTGAACTTCTTGATTCTGTAAATACCCCTAAATTTGAGGAATTGTTACTTCATAAACTTTTTGGCCTCATTTTTCTCTCCTCTTCATCTAAGACTTAACGTGTATGAATGCTAGGACTATTTTATTTCTTCATGAGAAAATATTTTTTCTCCTCATTCCTCAGAATTTATGACTATTTTGATCTGTCCTCAACTTTACTGAGGTTGTCTTGTGTCATATCCTGAGTGCTAATTCTATCCAGATGATTTTTAAATTTCAAATATTGTATTTTCTGTTCAAGTTTCTATATTTGATTATTATTTATAGTGTCTATTTCTATGCCAAGATTTATTACTTCTTGACTTATTATGCATATATTTCCTACATATTTTGATCATGGCTAAATATTTACCTTAAAGTCTTTGTGAATTCTAATCTCTAGGTCATTTTAAGATCAGATGCATTTATCAAGCATTTTCTGGTGGATTTATGTTATACTTTATTTTAGTTTTTTTCTTTTTATTTCTAGGAATTTTGCCTTATATATGTAGTGATCGTGAATTTTGTGAGTGGTACATTTTAGAGAGTAGATTCTGCTGGATTCCACAATTTTTTTTGTTGAAAACAAGTAGTTCACTTGATCAGAACTGAATTTTAAATTCTGTCATCTCTCTGATGGGCAGCACATGAGATGTACAGTCCATTCTTGTAGCCTCAATTAGACTGCTTGTACATACATAGCTGAAGTTTCTTCAAGAGCTTTATGACAGCATTTATACCCGAAAGTTTATATATCATTGTGTAGCTGTTTCCTATCTGGTTTACCCTTCTTGTTCCTCATACCTGTAAGCCTATTGCTCTTTGTCCAAATTTTAATTTCCTAATATGGACCTGACTTGTAGTTCTTTATAAGTAGTGAATAGGTCCTGAGAATGAGTTGCCCGCGGATGAAAAAGAAAAGAGAAAAGAAAAACAAGAGAGATGAAAGACTGGGATCAGGGGGCTCACAGCCTCTCAGACTGTCACACCAATCACCAATCACAATCACCTTTTATTGAGGCAGAACCAAGAAAGTAACTAGAATAAGTAGGTGGATAACAAACGTTTTAGTAATTAATGTATTATCCTTCTCCAATTCTGCCTCTTATGCTGATGGTAACAATTCCCAGGTGGGCCTCCCACACTCAGCACCACACTTACTCAGTTCAGTTGGGGATCACAAGCCAACCATCAGTTAGCAATCCATTACAATCGCAGTCCTTACTTCTCACTGACTTGGACCTACTCCCAGCCAACAAACTTTAAAAAGCAAAAAAGTTATCAGCATATTTGCTTTCTTCTAAGTATCAGCTGTCTCTTCCTCTTCACTTGTCTTTGGTCTCTCTCCAGAGTATTTGGCAATTAATTTTAGTGTTTTATCTAGAATTCAGGGTGTCTGTTTGTTTTGTGTTATAACACTGTATCTCATACTGTGTAATTTATAAGGAAAAGAAATGTATTTCCCACAGTTCTCAAGGGGGGGAGGTCCAATATCAACATGCTGCCATCTGGTGAGAGCTGTCTCGTTGCTTCATCCCATGGTGGAAAGGCAAGTGGGTGAAAGGGAGAGAGAGAGTGTGAGTGAAAGAGAGAGAGTGTGTGAGTGAGAGAGAGAGGGAGAGAATGTGCAAGAGGAATAAGACCAAACTCATCCCCTTATCAGGAACCCATTCCCGTGACAACTAACTTCCTTCCATGGCAACCACGTTACTCCATTCAAGAGAGCAGAGCTCTCATGACTTCATCATCTCTTAAAGGTCCTGCTTCTCAAGACTGTTGCACTGTGGATTGTTTCCAGTGCATAAATTTTGAGGGCATATTAGACCATTACACAGAGTTTTCTGACAGCAGATATCCTGATGTGATCCTAAGTAGAAATTCTAAACAAGCAGAGCAGGGAATTGGGAGCAGTCCCTCACCTCAAGACTAGTATACCACAAATAAACTGACTTAACCTGGTCGAGGATGCGTTTTCTCTAGAGCTCAGGCTACCAGATACAGGGTAGCCTGTGTTTAACCTTCTCGATTCAGCTGGTAGGACACAGGCAACTATTGTCTTAACTTAGACTCTCTACTTCCGGAGCTGTTCAACCAAAGCTCATTTTCTATACTGCCATGAAAGCGATCTATATAAAAACAGATCATATCATGTCATTCCCCTACTTAAGCTTTCCATGGCTCCTGGTTTGCTACAGAAGAAAACTTAAATGTCTTAACAGGGTTTAGAAGATCATATGAGAATTGAAATCCAAACATTCTGCTTCCTCTTTAGCCATTTTCTTATACTTTTCCCACCCCCCTCCTATTAAGCATACTGTACTCTAAGGACAATCAAATCCTGATGATTCATAAAAGTCACCTGCATTTTTACACTTCTATGTGGTTGCAAATAGCATCACTTTACCCTATATTATTTTTCCTTTTAGCCATTGACATGTCACTATGTAGACATTCTCTCTCTCTCTCTCTCTCTCTCTCTCTCTCTCTCTCTCTCTCTTCCTCTCCCTCTTTCTCTCTACCATTTTTACTCTGGTCTTCTACAGGGGAATGTCGGCATCATGAGGTACAGGACTTGGTTTTGTTCACAGTGAAATCCCCAGTATTCAGAATACTATCTGGCACCTAGTAGGTACTTCAATATTCTTATTTCCTGGCTAAGTCAGAGCAGGACAGACATACGGAGAATCCAGCTACACTGTTATCTTCCTTTGGCAATTCTGCTCAACGTTCCCTCACTAATATGTACAGAATGAATGATTGCTTTAATTCGTTTTTTCCTGCAGAAATCATCTTCATTTCTCTTTCTTGTTTCTCCGGGTATTTCTGCGTTTACCACCACATCATGGCATTAAAGCCAGATTACTCATGAACAGATTTGTGACTTCATCTACTGTATATACTCACCAGTCTAGTCTCACTTCCCTACAGAGAGGCTTCTCTTTCTGGCTTGTCTCTTCTCTTGGAGAAAAGTCTTTTTATTTCCATCACCCATAAAGGAGCTTAAGATAGACTTGCTTATACAAAATTTGAATACATTACTCTTATCATTATGATTTGGGCATCATGGGAAAACTATTGGTAGTTTAATTATTCAGATATTTTTAGATTAAGAATTAGGAAGTTACAGGAAAAATTGCTAGTTGATTTTAGGACCTCAAATAAAAGCATTTTTTTTTTTTTTTTTTGGTACCAGGAACCGAACTCATGACCTTGCACTTGCCAGGCAGGCGCTTTTGCCGCTGAGCTAAATCCCCAGCCCCAAAAGCATTTTTTTGAGATCTATTGTTTCCTAATATTTCAAAATTTGTCAGGATTCAAATTTCAGTCTTCCTTTTTTCACATTGAATTTGTGGTCAAATCTCAACTGATGACTTTAAGATTAATTTAATTCACTCCTTCAGTAACAAGCATTATCTTGGCATTTAGAAAGAAAAGTCTATTCAACCCCAGATGACAATGAAATGGAGTTAATAATATAGTGAGAGCTAAATTAAAACTAAGCTCCAATGACCGTGAAATAACATTTCTATGCTTACTCCTTAGCACAATTCTTAGTAAGTGCTGAAATTGTGTTGGAAAGCCTATACATCCACAGATACACTTTAATCATCATAAGAAATTTTTTTTTTCCAGTATCAGGAATTGAACTCACTACCTCACACTTGCCAGGCAGGCACTGTGCCACTGAGCTAGAACCCCAGCCCCTATAAGAAATATTTTAACCAGTCTATAGTGTCCTTTGAAATCTTCTTTTATGGAATTAAAATAGTGGGCCTGGGGATCTTTCAAAATGAAAGAACCCATTTGTACCCTATATTTATCTATTTTTCTCACTGTGTAATAAGCCTTGGAAGTCTGGATTCTTCTTTGTTCACTGTTCACAAATTATTAGGTAAATTATTTCAGAAGAACAATTGTGTGGTCACTTCTTTAGTGTCTCTGGTAATGTGAGTTTTTAAAATATGTATTCATGTACTTATTATGCATACAACAATGTACATATAAATCATGGACTTCCCCTAAAATGAAATTCTGAGACCATGTGAACATATTTCAGTCTTTAACACAGACACCTGGGCTGCATGCCCAGCTATGACACATTGCCTATGTTTATAAAGTCAATTTAATTTCGGTTGTTAGTATCAGTTATCATCATTCTAGATTTAAAACCAGTGGCCCAGGTTCTCTTCCTCATTCCCTGCAGCTTTGACTGAGATTCCAGCAGGCAGTTGGCACTATTTTTAATACCTTCCCCATATTTTTTCCTGGATTATCCATTTGAACAGGCCTTTTTCTCTTCATTTTATTACAAATTCTTGAATCCAGGGATCATGTCTGATGCTCCTCAGAATCCATGTTAATGTCTAGACCAGGAGCTTGTTTAACCAAAGCCTCCAAAGAAGTTGTTGATTGATTCAAAGAGAACTTTAAATCTTGTTAAAAGTATATTTCTAGTGGAAAAGAAATGTTCACTTTTGTGTTTGGAAAATAAGATGGATAGATACAAAAAGAAGTGTGGGAATGAGATGACCTCTGAAGGATGACAGATTTCCATATTAGCACATTATTTCCATGTAAGATCTCAACCCAACTTCATGAGAGGAATAATATGAGACAAAAATAGGATGTGACAAAGTGGCTGTAGTAATTCTACTTCTTCAACAATTGTTCCCACAGCAATCAATGGAAAACCCAGCATTGTCCACCTTTAAGAGAGGCATTGAGTGTTTCTCTCCCTCCCTCTCTACCCCTTTCTCTGCCCCCACGCTCCCTGAGTCAGAGGAGGCCACATTTCCAGCTAGAAGCCAGCATGAGAGCCACGCACCTGTTCAGAAATGTCCAAGTGGACAGCAAATGAAGTTCATGGCGCTGATGGAGTTAATGGCAGTGAGTCAGCTGGGACACTCGCAGCAGGTCAGCTGACACTCTTTCTTGCTGTCCAGAGCATTTAGTCTGCTGGACATGCGCCCAAGACTGAGAGCCGAGGTGGATGACAGCAGTGTGCCTCTTGGTTGCCACCGGTTGCTTCGCTGTTCTCAGCTTTCAGGATTTTTTTTAAAGATGGATTTTTGTCTAGCACAGTCATGAACGGTGATGGGAAGAACAGGCTGAGCAGCTGTTGACTGAAATAACAGAGGGGTGGTTTGGTATCTGGAAACGCTCAACACAAGTTGTCCTGCAGGCTTTGATGATGACTTTTGCATATAAAATTATGGGTCAGAAGCAGGAAGCTGAGTGCTCCTTATGCCAAAGTGTCTCGCTTGGCAAAGGTAAGATTTGCACGAGGTCAGAGGATTTCATTCTGAAAAATTAGGGATGCTTTTCTACAAGATGCAATGGCAAGTTTCTCAACCAAGCAACAGGATAAAACAAATCAAAACTAACCCAAAGAAGAAAACTTCATGGGCAATAGAAAACTCATATTCTGTGAGCTTTTACAAATTTTTCAGTGACACAGATGAGACTTACGAAAAGATAATAAAAATCTGTTGTGTGCTTTTTATTATAAAAGATGACTGGGGAAAGAGCAACATAATTAGTTGAACTAAATCCTGATGTAAGTTTTAAATTTATTTATTTTCTTCAAGTTATCTCTTAAAACCCCCTTTTCAGGCAAATAGGTTAGAATTGTTCCTCACAGGTGGATTTAATAGTGATCAGATTAAAATTCCATTTCCCTAAAATCTGGCATGAGTTGCGATTTCCACATTTAGAAGAGATCTTGTTTCTATTGCACCTACTTGGTAGAAATATCTGACTTGACAATTTGCGGCCACTATAATTACAATCATGTTCACTGGCAATGGGATTCATAAACAAATATTGAGAGTCACATCAGGCTAACAGATAGCAGAAAATATGAATCAACTTTCTTTCCCAAGAAGAAAATATTTGCATTAAGTAGAGCATGGAAAATTAAGTGACTATTTTTCATCCATTATAGTTTACTTGGTACTTGAAGGCACTGAACAATTTCCTGAGGGGCCCGGTCCTTTGAGAATGTATATTCCAAGATAATTGCTGTCTGTTTCTATAGAACTCTGGAAGTCTGTGTTCGTGGGAATTTCACAAGGACAGAGGTGGGTCACTGTGGTTGCCTGTTGCCTAGCTCATGGAGATGCTTGATAAATATTGGGTGAATGAATTAATCTTGACTACAGGAAGTGGAGGGGTGACAAGGAGTGTCATCTCTTCTTGGCAGAAGAACAGATTAGTCATTAAGACCAAGAAAAAGAGAAGATGGGATTTAGGGTGATTTAAGTCGTGATTACTGAAGCCATTAGCAGCCAAGGCCATGCTGAGGGAGGGAGTGTGGGGAAAGTTGGAGATGGTCATTAACTTTACATTGGCCTGGGCTGATTTCTGCACGTGGCAATCACAAGCCTGCAGAAATTCCACAACTGGGGAAAATGGACTGGACACCAGGTGGGAAAGAGAGAGTGACAGGAACTTCCCCAGTGACACAGACAGGTGGGTTTTGAGCATATTTCTCTTTGCCTCTGTCCCGCTGCTTTCAGTTTTGACATCTTCCTTGCTCCTCTGTTTTCATCTAGAATGAAGCTGCCAAAGTAACGTCTGGTTCATTGTCAGAAACACTTTAGGAACTGCTCAGCACTCTTGAGAGGGCCTGTGTCTTCTCTCCCTAGATCCTGCTGATTCAGTCCCATTTCTGCCTTTGAGACCCATTTTAGACTCATTTCGGAGGATACAGCACTTCGGGGGACAATGGCATTGCTAAGTGATCACACACACACAGATACACACACACACAGACACACACACTGCACAGAGAGAGAGAGGGAGAAAGAGAGAAGAAATTAACTGGTGAAATTTTACCCTTTATTTATTCTGTGTATAATTTCATTTTTCCCTCACACGTCTTTGTTACTGCCACTACTTGATAAGTTCTTTATGAGGCATTCGGATTTGTAGTTAATTATTAATACCAGAAAGTACCTGTTTTAATTCTAAGTTTGAATCACACTCTGATATTCATTACAATGGAGTAGCTGCTAATCAGGCTTTTCTGATGTGGTTAGAATTTTGAAGACTCTCAATCTTTCTCTCTCCCCCTGAAACTACCCCCACCACACACACACACACACACACACACACACTCTAAAAGTGTAAAAAGTGACTCCACTGTAGAGATGATTGATTGTAGGATATCAGTATATATGTGTGTGCTGTTTAAAAAGCTGAAACTGGAGTCCTATAGCTACATTTGTCTTGTTTTATGACTTGATTTTCACATAAAGTAGGAACAAAATCCCTGACATGGAAATCAGCCTGTTATGTGTCACATCTATATCAAGTATCTGAACTCATTTTTATGAGAGGTCCATTTCCCTATTGCACTTCCTGTGTTTGGTAATGCAAACAAGCAGAACATTGTGTCATTGTGTTGGAGACACTCCTTGCGAAAGTCAGGGAGTATCGAAAACTGGAACCAGAGTTAATGGGACTTATTAATAAAAGAAAAAATGTTTGCTCTCACTGCTTGATCTGAGGGCTGGCTAATCTCGAGGTATGAGGTAACCTGGACTCCATGGCACACAGATCCTGCCCAGCACTGCACTCGGTGTCACGTCTTGTGCAATATGTCATCGGGATATTAAGCTGTTTATGAACTGATTTGTGAGATGTTTGGGTTATACTGAAAGTGTTCTCCTTTGCAGGGCAAGAAGCCGATAAATTTATAAAACACCTAAAGTGAAGAAAAGAAAGAATCTAATCCAATTTCAAGTCACTGTGTTGGAAACTGTCCTTACTCACAAACTGGGGCCTTGCCACTGGCATGTGTCTGTCCATAGCTTCAAGATGAGTTTGGAGTGAAGAGGACACAGCAAGGAGGTTAAATCGAGGCTTCCGGCAGTGCAGTGTCGTCAGTGCTTTCATGCCAAGTGCTTTACATTTTCACCCTGGACTGGCCTTCCAGCTATTGTGGTTACCTTCACCACCTAACCTGTCACTTATACCGAACAACAGTTTTACCTGTCCACACCGTGCCTCATTCACCTAGGTAACACTTAAACCAAGGTTCTGGTTGCCATTGTGAAATGCTCCTAGCAATTTCTCTTGTAAGGAAGAGTCAGCTTTTTATAAAGATGTCTTACTATTTATTGATTATCTAAAAATTTGTTTTTACCGGAGAGGTTTGGACTGAAAGCAAGCTTAAATGCCTTACTTTAACATTAATAAATCTACCTCAGGTCATACAGCTCAGATCTAGAAATCCCCAGGGCTTGCATGTCTACATTGAGAAAACAGTGGTGCAAGACTGCAGGGACATGGTGTCTTGGTTACTTTTTTCTCGTTGCTGAGACAAAATACCCAACGTCCAAAATGAAGGAAGGAAAGGTTTATTTAGCTTACAGTTTGTGGAGGTTTCAGTCCATACTTGGCTGGCTCGGAGGCAGAAGATAGCAAAGCAACAAGAGCAAGGGGGTAATGGCAGCCGAACAGCAAAGCAGCCAGAGCAAACTGGAGGAATGGAGGCAAGCAGCTTCTTTTTCTGCCTTACTTTGTAAACAGGCTACCCCCCCTAAGGGGCGTGTAGCTCTCACATAATCTCCATGCCCTCCTCATCCACAGGCTCAGGATGTATACAAAGTAAGCACCCTGGCTTCCTGCTGAGTTACTTAGCCAAACCTCTAGACTTCCCAAGTTGACACAATGTATCAACCATAACACATGGGATGGAGGTTCTTGGCCCCAAGGGTGTCCTGACCAATCAGAGTTGTAATATTAGGTGCTGTTGGGATCAAGGATTGAATAATCTAGTGAGACTGTCTGTGTCTACACTGCTCCTGATATGAGAGAGGCTAGCCAGTAACTGGCTCCCTGGCTGGATTCCCATTTCTATCATTAACCATCTGTGTGATTTGGAGTGATGAGAGCTAGAGTTAGCAGTAAATAAAATGCTTTATTTTCTAACCAGATTCCCTGGGACTGTGGTTCTCAAAGTGCATGACTAGAGGCAGCAAAATCACCTCAGGGACTTAAAAATGGATCATCGGGCTCTGCTTCAATTTGCGATTCACTTGGTCTACAGTTTTGTATTTTCTAGGAACTGCTAGCCCAGGGATCATACTTTGTGAGTCAATAACCTAGTGCAAGCAAACTTAACTTTTTTGTTCTTGAATTTTCTTCACTATAATGTGAAAATGACAATAGCATCTACTTCCCAGAGTGCTTTTGAGATTAGTTACAACTACATAGGAAAAGGCCTTAGAGTTCTATGTGATAGGCTGTAACTATTCAATAAGGACCAGTCATTATTACCGATAATTTAATTTTTGTAATATATATCCCTCAGACTGTTTTATTTATATAAGTATCTGGGCTTCTCCCTTGTTGCTGGAATGCAGTACCTGACACCCACAGCGTAAAAAAGGAGAGGTCTGCTTTGGCTCTCTTTTCGTCCATAGTTGGCTGGTTCCAAGTCAGGATGGCATAGCAGAGAGACATGGTGGAGGAGAGATGCTCATGGCATGGGGGACAGGAAGTAGAGAGAGTCAAAGAAAGAGCCAGGAAGAAAGCTATTCCTTTCCGGGTCATTCCCCACATTGACCTATCTCTTCCAGCCAGCTCCTATCGCCTCACAGAGAGTCAACCCTCTTATCCAATCACCTTCCAAGAGCCCTGCCTATGAGTGGATGAGCACTTTAGGAGACATGTAGATATAAACCATAACAACAGGAATGCTAGCAAGCAGTTATAAAACTCTATGCAAATATACTATTGAAACTATCCAACACTGCTAAATATATAAGCATCAGAAAAACTACTATGCCTTTAAAAATTTTTAAATACAGCACTTTTCCATTGTAAATGTCTTTGGGAACCAAACACTGTCTGATTTCTATGGAGACATATTTGAGAACGTGATGGGTCTGCTTCCTCCAACAAATGCTCACACATGCAACTATACAAGTCCTTGTGTACTTATGGCTGCATTAAATGCCCGGGGTAAGAATCACTGATGTCATAGCTGCGTGTGGCTGTGGGAGTGTGGCTGTGTCTTTTCTTTAGGTTCCTTTATTGTCTAAATCAAATGTACTGATTTCCATTCTGTTTGAGGACATACCTCCATGCAGGAAACAATGAAAAAGAACCTGCTTTCAGATTTACTGCCCTGGAGGCTGGGGATACAGCTCAGGGCACAAGCACCTGCCTGACAAGCACAAGGTCCTGAGTTCGATTCCTGGTACCAAAACAAGACAAAACAGAAAACAGATTTACTGCCCTGTATCCCAGGGCCAACTCAGGGCCATTTAAGTAGCTACTAGGACCTTGGACAAGACACTGACCCTTTCTGAGGCTTAGAATCCCTCATTAAGTGAGAGGAGTACTGTACTTAATGTCTAATGCACTTCTACAATGGATGGTGGCAATTATCCTAGGAGATAAGCACACTGCCTGGTCTTAATCACAGGGCCTTTTTCCTCACCCATTTTCTCTAATGAGCTGCCCTCTCATCACTGCTGAATTGTTTCAGGCGCTTGTCCTGTTGAATGCATGTCAATTCAAATGTCGTAAACTCAGTGTTTTGTCTTTTCCATAGACCCTTTATATTGGGCTGATTGTAATGTTTGCTGATTCTGCTGTGTCAGATGCCTTCTCACCTGGTCTTTGCATTTGCTGTTCTCTGATTTATCTCCAGGTCTTTGCATTTGCTGTTCTCCAACCTGGAATACTCTTTTCTTCCATTTTTGTCCCCTTTCTTACATCCCTCTCTCTCCCTCAGCACTGCTCTCTGGCCTTGCCAAGCTGGCCCCTCTTATGCTCTAGGTGAGACCTTCCAATCCCCTTCCTCTGGAAAGCCAGAGCTGGACTAGGGCCCCCTGCATGTAATCCCTTAGCACCCTCACTGTGGTATGATCCTTGTGGCCTACTGACTTTGGAATCAGATCCCTATGAACTTGTATCTTAGTTCTGTTCCTTAACAACTGTACAGCCTTGAGCAAGTTTCTTCTCTACTCCAAGTTCTTAATCCATAAGAGGAGGACAGTAAAGAGCTACTTTACTGAGCTAGCTGCTGTGAGTATTACCTAAGACAATGTCCAACTTCAGCCTCAGGGGGTATACATGATAGCTTCTATCTTGACCAATTCATCATCAATATTAGGCAGCCTTTATTAAGTGTAGAATATCTAATGTGAACTTCTGGAAAGTCGTAGATCACAGCAAGATTATGATTAAAGCTTTGCACATGATGTTGACAGGAATAGGGGCCCAGTTCTGGTTTGCAACCATAAAGCCAAAGATGAAACTTAAGAGAGAAGATTTATCTTCTTCTTGGTTTGGTGTCTAATTGCTCAATCAAATTACTGAGGTATGTTTTATTTGATTATGATATAACTTAATATTGGAACAATTGTCAAAAGACAACTCTAATCAACTGTGAATTTGGCACTAGTATGAAAATAAAGGGCTTAGGGCAACATCAAAGTCTGGAGAAGTTATTTGGTTTATAAAAAATTGAGTGACCAGAGATATTAGGAAGTGATGGACATTAAGTTGGCCCTCATTCTCTATTTTGGTTCACAAGTGTTAAAGAAAATGTAGCACAATCACTAGTGCTAAAAAATCTCACAGTAGCAAAAAATATTTACTTCTCAACCCCTAGTCAAGTTGTACATATCATCAAAAACTAAGGATACCTATGTAAAGACCAGGCATAATAAAGGCAGTCAGTGTATACAAAAATCTCTCTTAAGAGATATATAATACATTTCACTAAAATTTATTTTCATTGTGGTAAACAGAGAAATCTTATTTTTATCTAAACAGGAATTCCAACCTCTTGGTTTAACCATGGTAAGTAAAATTATGTTCTCACAGGATGTCATATAAGTAGATTATGACAATGAATGAATTATAAGCAAAGGATCTCTCTTTTCATAGAGATCCCTAGAGAAGTGGCCCATAAGGAATACTGTTTGTCATTCTGATTTCCTGTCCCAGAATCATTGTCGGTGGAGGTAGTCAGGACTAAGAGCCCTCGTGAGTTCTTGCATCACAAAAGAATACGTAGTGCAGTGTTCCAGAAGTTCAGGCATCCAGGAGATGAGGAGGCAACAGGGCAGCTGAGGTTTGTGAGTTAATGTCAATCAGGAAAGTCGCTCAGGAAAGATAACTTTGAGTCCTACTGTGCACCTCTGTGGCTTTGAAGTAGCATGGTGTCCATTAATTTTACTTTGGCTATGAGCTCAGTGCTTGGAAGCTATCTGAGCAAACACATTGGTATTTCGCTTTCTGAAATCCAGGTTTCTGTAACCAGGGAGGTTAAAGTCAGCTGCCTATTAGATACTGGTTCACCATATGTGTCTGTCCCTTTTCTTTTGTTCTTTTCATTCTGTTACAGTCATCCTCCTGTATTATCCCACATCACAAACACAACCACATTCAGATCTAAAATATTAAAAAATCATTTCTGTATTGAACAGGTCAACATGTTTTCCTTTTCACTGTCCCCTGAGTAATACAATATAACAACCATTTACACAATGTTTTCATTGCATTAGGTATTGTAACAAGTCTAGTGGTGATTGCAGGATGGACAGGAGGATATGCATAGGTTCTTTGCAAATATTGCACCATTTTTATATATGGGATTCAAGCATCTGTGTATTTCAGCATATGTAGGGGGTCCCGGAACACATTCACTTTGTAGGTTTTGGGGGATGACTATATTCTGGATGGCTACATCTAGATCATGACCTTATCTCCCCTTTAAGTTCTTTGAAGATTTTCTTCTATTCAGCCCAGGATTTGGAAGTTCCACAGACACCTTAAACTCAACTTTTTGATGAGATAACTATGTTATATGTAAGGGGGAGGGGACAAATGTTCTTTTGAGAAGGATGCAGAGAAAGCTGATACAGAGGAGAAGCCAAGGTAAGCCTGCAGGCAGGCTTGAGTGATGTGCTGCAAGGCAAGGAGTGTCAGCAGCTATTAGAAATGGGAAGACACAAGAAAAGAATTCCACCCAAGAACCTCCAGAGGGGCTTGCTGATGCCCTGATTTTGGCTCTGTGGTTCTGATTTCAGGCTTTTAGCTTCCAGATCTGTGAGAGGATACATTTCTTTTGTTTTATGACACTGAGTTTATGGTGTTTGTTA